GAGCCCAGACTGTCTTTCATCCTTAAAAAGCCGAGTCCACTTAGCGTGGGACCCTGTTGCGTATCCACCCCACTCAGTGAGAGTTTCGTGGTGCCTTCCTCCCCAGACGTGAAGTGAAGCCTCCGCTCCCCAAGGTGCCCCAGCCTTTGGCTTCCAACATCACTCCCGCCCCCAATACTGCCCACACCCCAGGCGCCCAGGTAGCCCCAGTGCCAGCCCCTCCCATCAGCCAGGAGCCGAGGCCCAGGGAGAGTGGAGCCTCATGCAGGTCCCAGGGCCCAGCCCTAGGATCCATGCCTGGGGGCTCCTGCCACCGCTGCCTCCGTAAATCACCGTTTTTGAGCAGGATCAGCAGAATGTGTCCATGGGAAGCACAGTTGATTAGGGCTCAGGGGGAAGAGGTGGTCTGAAATGAGATGCTTTGTAAATAAAGGCTGATTAAGAAGCAGGCAGCTTTAGAGTCATCTGCACCTTGGACACACATCCCTGGGGGCCTCAGGCTCCCACACCCTTCAGCTGTCCCTGGGAAATATGGTCCTGTCCCCATTCTGTGCTGGGCAGGTAGGCTCTGACCTTGGAACCTGGTCCCCTGGACAAGCTCCTCTGCCACCACTCCTGGATGCTCAGGGCTTGAAGGGGTCCCAAGAGTGGGCCTCCCACAGCCTTGTGTAAGCAAGAGGCAGGAGTGGTGGCATGTTTTACCAGGCACCTGGGGCGCACTGCTCTGGGCTCTGACGATGCCCCAGGCTGCAGACTCTCTCCACCCCTGGGCTCTGTTTGACCCATGGACCGCCATCCCCAGTCAGCCAGTGGCTGCATGTGCCATTTGGCGGCTTCCTTGGCGCTCCTGATTCTGCAGATCTGCAGGCATAAGCTTGACTGGACCCAAAGACCAGCTCAGCCACCGGGACCCTCCTGGACCCTACTAGTTACAGGACTTCGAGCTTGTGCTAAACTGTCAGGATTCAGGGAGCAGGTGTGGCAAAGTTATGGTGCTGCTGGGCTGCTGGTTTTGAGAAATTTGTGATGTGCTCTATACACAAACACAGAGATACACAGACACACACAAGCATATGCCTAGCTGTGCATGTGTAGAATGCATAAACACACATGTATTCATACATATGCCTGTGTGCACGTATGTGCATATATTCACACACCCACACATCTGCACTTACTTGATGTGTGCATTAATACATATCTCTACATGCACGTGCGTATGTGCATGCATACACGTGTGCATGGCGCCTGTCTACACGTGTGCATGTGTACTATCTCGTTTCTGTAAATGGTGGAGTAGAGGTCACCGTCAAGCCATTCCCCAATGCTCAGTCTTCACTCACTCAGAAGTACGGAAGAAAGACATGCACCAGGGAAAATCAGCAGGTGTCGTCTGTTAGAAAATATTTTTAAGAGCAACTGGAAGCATTATTTTTAATGAGTATAATGATGCATCCGTGTTTATGTGATGTATTCTGAATGGGCCCAAGATGACTGCATGCTCAAAAGAACACTCTTGTTTCACCAGGGTAAGTGCTAATTGTGGTTGACGTTTTTTTCCAGGGAAGCGGTGCATCTTCCAGGCAGAAGCCCGTGCAGGTCTGGCATTTTCACCAGATTTTGTTATTACATTTGTCTCACAGCTTTAAAATAGTAGCAAATATGTGCAATTTATTTAAACAACACTAGGGAAATTAACGCCATGCAAGCTCATCCTAAGCAAATGATGATGAAGTTTTTTTAAAAAAAACGGCTGCACAGAAACCCTTTAAAACTCAGAGTCTGAGATTCAGAGGGCCCTGGTGAGCCACTGCTGGTTCTGAAGCACCACCAGGTGGGGCAGACCAGCCAGGCTCTGCCTCAGTCTCCCGCTGGGAGATGTGAGGGAGCTGCAGACGGCCAGAAGGCCCCTCCTAGAGTTGGTGCCGGAGGCTCCCTTCTCTCTTATCTGGGAGAGATTGGTCCAGGTGGCCTGCCCTCATACAGACCTGCTCAAGAACAAAAGGAATGCTTCCAACGCCCTTCTCCAGAGGTGGATCCCTGATCGCCTATGGGCTGGGAGACCCCCTGATCACCTGTGGGCCGGGAGACCCCTGATCCCCAGCCACAGTACATCTCAGGTGTGGTTGGCGGCCCCACCCCAGAGTTAAGTCCTGGGTGAGACCTAGGAACCTGCATTCCTAATGAGCTCTCCAGGGTGCTGAGCTGCTGGTCTTGGGACCAGCCTGGGAGCTCAACCCTGTTTCTCCCAGTCTGGGATTTATGGAACACATCCCTGGTACAGGAAACATCACTCAGACCCCCTTTTCCCCTGGTTCCCCGCCTCTTCCATGGGACAACTGATTTCTGCCCAGCTGGGACCACCACGGGGTCCGGCAAAGGGGGTTCACAGGCAGAGACCACAGAAAGGAGGGGTCGCACTTTCGGGTGCTCCGGCTTTGGGGTCACACTTCTGGCATCCAAATCCTGCCTCTGTTGAATGGGCTGTATGCGCTTCAGGGGTGCCTTGGCCTCTGTGAGGTAGTAGGTGGGGATGGATGGTGGTGCTCCCCGCTGAACTGGTGAGAGGAAGGATTCGGGGGGAGACTGCATGGAACAGCATTTGGCCTGAGCCTGGAACCTGAGTGCATGCCGCAGCTCTTGTCATCGTTCCTGTTGCTGTGTTGGTGTTATTTCTAGCCGCTTTCAGCAGTGGGATTAATCTGGTCTTTCTCATCAGAGATGAGAGCTGATTCACCTAAATTGTTGTATCTCCAAGGTAAAGACCAGGCTCCCAGGGAGGCGCTGTCTGTCTGGGGACAGGTCTTGGAGGACAGGTGGGTCTTGGAGAACAGGTGGGACATCTTCAGTGGAAGGGCCTGATGCAGAGTCCTGCTGTCATCCTCGTCGGACTTTCAGTCCCTATGAGGCACTGGCTGCTGTCTGGGCAAGGAAACCAGTGTGTGCATTTTGATGTGTTTTCTTCCATTTCTTTTTTCTTTTCCTTTCTTTCTTTCTTTTTTTTTGAGACAAAGTTTTGCTCTTTTTGCCCCGGCTAGAGTGCAATGGCATGATCTCAGCTCACTGCAACCTCCCCTCCTGGGTTCAAGTGATTCTCCCCTGTCAGCCTCCCAAGCAGCTGGGATACAGGCACATACTACCATGCCTGGCTAATTTTATATTTTTAGTAGAGATGGGGTTTCATCATGTTGGCCAGGCTGGTCTCAAACTCCTGACCTTGGGTGATCCGGCTGCCTCGGCCTCCCAAAGTGCTGAGATTACAAACATGAGCCATCGTACCTGGCCTCTTTTTCTATCCTTTAAAAAAATGCAGTAGGTTTGGTGGGTCAGTCCTGTAATCCCAGCAATTTAGAAGGCCAAATGGGGTGGATCACCCAGGTCGGGAGTTTGAGGCCAGCCTGGCCAACATGACAAAACTCCATCCCTACTAAAAATACAAAAATTAGCCAGATGTGGTGGCGGGCTCCTGTAATCCCAGCTACTCAGGAGGCTGAGGCAGGAGAACCACTTGAACCCAGGAGGCGAAGTTTACAGTGAGCAGAGATTCTGCCACTGCACTCCAGCCTGAGTGACAGAGCAAGACTCTATCTCAAAAACAAAAAAAGAAAACGCAGTTGATGCTGTATGTTTGCTTTTGTGCTATTTCTCCACTTACTAATATTCTATGGCCTTTTTTTCTTGTCAGCCTTAAACGAGTAAACTTTTAATGACTATAATATTCCAAGACAGGAACACAGTGTAATGCCTTTATAGTTCACTGTCAGACACTCAGATTTGTGCTCTAGTGTTTTTACTTATATAAGAACATTTGCAATAAACATCTGTTTACAAGGACTTTGGTCCACCTGGAGCTTCCTGGGGACAGATTTCCAGCTGTGGAGTTATTGGGTCGAAAGGGACCATCCTTTTTGAGGTTCTTGATAGTCACTGGAAACTGGAAGGCAGAGGGCTGTGCTGAGTGACCATGGGGCCACAGCAGCAGGGACCACATCAGTGTCAGGCCTGATGGCCTTAAGTCCCATGCCAAGCATGGCCAGACATTTTCTCATTGTCATCCGATGTCATTCCCATAGCAGCCCCTAAACTCAGGGCCATCGCTACATCTCCCTTCTGTAAGAGAAGAGCCTGGGATTGTGCAAGAGGAAGGCACACATCACATGAGCTTTTGCACAAACACACAAGTGTGGGTCCAACGCCAGATCCCATGCCCTCAGCCGTCACCCTCCGCTCCCTGCCTCACAGTGCACTCCCAGCGAGATCCCACGCCCTCGGCCGTCACCCTGCACTCCGTGCCTCACAGCGCACTCCCAGCAAGATCCCACGCCCTCGGCCGTCACCCTCCGCTCCCTGCCTCACAGCACACTCCCAGCGTTGCAGATTCCCTTTGCTCAGTCTTGTCAATTTGGCAGGTAAAAAAGGATGTGTTACTTTGATATGCATTATTTGATACTGGGAGACGTGGGCATTTTTCATAAGTTTATTGATCATTTACATTTGTTTTGCTGTGAATTATCTGTTCATGTCCTTTTCTTGTTAGGAAACAAGATTCCATTTTATTTTCTTACTGATTTGTAAGAGTGCTTTATATAGTGACTATTAACCTCGCGTCAAATTGTTATAAATCATGTTTTCCAAATGTGTCAGTTGCCTCCTGGGTATGTTTTCATAAACGGGAGTTTTCCAGTAAAACGTGTTAGCCTTTTCTTTTGTGATCTCTTGCGTAGTTTTCTGGGGGTTACAAAGCCCTGCCTACGCTATTGGTGACATTGTCCACTGTATTTTCTCCATTCTTTATGGTCTCTTTTTCCCCACGTACTGTGTGATCTGCTCCATCATATTGACGGGGATCGCACTGGACTTTTCCCCTAACACTCAGCTCCCGTCCCAGTGTTATCCTGCTCTTCCCTCTCAGTCCCCAGATCATCTTAGCACATGCTGCTTTCCTCTGTGCAAAACCTAACCAGGCTTCATTGCCTCTTCTCTTCCCTTTCCAAATAAAGGCACAGAAAGGGAAGAAGACCGTGGCTCTGGACCCGTCTCCACCTCCGAAGGACACGCTGCTGCCGTGGCCCCAGCACCAGAACTCCAACGGGCTGAGGCGGCGAAAACGAGACTGGGTCATCCCACCCATCAACGTGCCCGAGAACTCACGAGGACCCTTCCCACAGCAGCTTGTGAGGGTGAGTCCAGACCCCCTGCCACTGGCGTGGGGGTCCTTGCGCGGGGGTCTCGGCGTGGGGGCCAGGCCCTTCTTTTGACATCACAAAGCTGGGGTGGGCTCTGCATTTGGTGTCTAAGAAGGCTGCAATTTCATCCTTTTGGTAATGAGATAAGCATTACACAGGCAGGAATTCTGGCGAGAAAGCTGCATCCCCCAAGGCGGATGAGTCTTTGTGAGTTGCGGGTGATTTCTGTCTTGGTTACTTTCGAATGGCTGCTCTGGAAGCGGTGGGCAGGGGTGTGGATCGTGGCCTTTGACCTCTGACCCCTTTCTTTGGTCTGATTGCTCATATTTATTTCCATGTGTGACTAAGATCGTGGATGATGGGAAGGTGGTGTGTCTGCCATGATGATCGTTGCGCCAAGGCCAAAGTGGGCTGGGCCATGGGCCGTCCGTGGGTTCGTGGTGTCCCTGAGCGCTGAAGGCCACCCTAGATTGCTTTTACTGCAGAAATAATTTATTTTACAAATTTGTGTTTCTGTAATCAAGGCCATCAACCAGTAATTTCTTCTTCCCTTTGAAGAAAATTGCAGTCCAATCTGAGCAATAATTTGATAAAAGGATGGTGAGAAATCCATTGTAAATTCCCACCCATTGTGGAAAAGCCTCACCCCACTCTTTGGAAATGAGGGTCCCCAGAGTACGCAGAGGGGACATTCTCATTCTTCATGCTGATTAGCGTGTTTCGTTTCTCATTCCTTTCAACGCCGAAGGCTGGGCTGTGCATTTGGAATGCATAGATGGGTGGAGGAAAGCAGCCACCAGGCAGGTGGCGAGGGCTCCATGGCAGTGTGGGAGCCCTAATTCTTTGTCTCCCTAACTCAGCCACCAGGGCACCCTGCCAGGGAGCAGCCAAAATGGCCAGTTGTTTAGAGCAGAAACTCTGACGTGAGTGAATGCAGTGTGTGTGCACACCCAGCCAAGGTGGCTTGGTTGCAAATACATCACCTGCCTTCTCTGCCCAGAGCCGGCCCTCCCACCTCAGCGCCCAGCCTCTGCTGCATCCTCCCCATCAGGGGCTCAGCTTTCCTGGACTGCCCACACCCCTTGAGGGGCCAGTCTGGGTTGGAGATTTTGCGGTGAAATGCAGTTCAGGGCTTAAGGGAAGCCACCAAGGGTTGGAACCCCATCCTTGGGGGAGCTTCCCAGGCCCACATCTCCTGCTGCCCACAGCCCAGTCACATGGCCATGTCTAATTGCAAGGGGCACTGGCAGCGAGTCCACTCCATGTCCTGAAGGAGCAGGAAATATGTCTGGTGAACGGCTGGTCTCTGCCAAAGCAGTTTCTAAAGATGAGATCAGCCTGTGTCATTTCCTCCCTGATGTCCCCACTGTCCCAAGGAGCCCACTTGCACCGCCACCAGAGCCCTCGGCGAACAGTTCACGTGTAATTCACCAACCAGGTCTACCCTGCTTTAGTTGGCCATAGTGCTTGGTGTTATCCAGCTGTATTATCATGATTTATTCACCTGCTTACTTCTCTAAGAGGAGGCTTCCTGAAGGCAAGATCTTGCCTATATCCCTAGTGTTGTAAACAGCCCTTGGCACACAGTGGGCACTAAATTTGTTGAGTGAATGAGTGATAGACATGATCTCAGTGGTGACTGTTGTCCTGGGCGCCCATCAGCTCACCCTGGAAAATGGCGCAACTGCTGGAATTTAGCAGAAACGTTAGCATTGGCTGTCCTGGCTCTCAGAGTCCTCCAAATATCGATGTGACTCACACAAAGGCATCCCCTCCAGCTTCCATCTGAAGGAAGAGGGGAGAGCATCCAGACTGAGCTTGATGCCTAGGGAAGACAGACCTTAGCGAATGGAAAATGGAATTTCCATTATGGCTTCTGTAGATTTGTTTTCTAGACGGACTCCAAGTCATTACGTAAGACTCTGTGCATGCACACACACACACACATGCACACACACACAGTCATGCACACACACACGCATGCACACACACACGCATGCACACACATGCACACACGCGCATGCACGCACACATGCACACACACACATATGCATGCACACACGCATGCCTATGCATACACAGGCACACACACATACACACACATGCATGCACCGCCCTGCTTCATGCACACATCCTCCTACATAGTCACGTTTCTGTTTGCCACCTCCTTTTCTCCACCCTCCCCTGTGTCTTCCATTAGCTTCTTATCTAGCACAGCCAGTGGTTTTGGAGGGGCTTTCCTGTCCCCGTTTCCATCTATAGGAAGCTGATGAGCTTCCTGGCAGCATTGGAGGGGAGGCGGCTCCTGGAAGAGTCCATGGTGAATGCAGCCTGATGTCGGGGACGGCAGGCTGAGCACAGAGCGCTTTGAGGTTCAGCTGGAATCAGCTGCAGTTCTACACTCATTAAGGCATTTCATTCTGATAAAATATGTTAAATGAAAAACGAGCAGGAGAGGAGGAGGCAGGATATTCTTCCCCAAAAACATCTGTTAATTACAGGCTTTTTCCTTGGAAGGAATATCACGTCTCTTCCTAAGCACTAGTGGTACCATGCAAGGGGAAACAGGGAACCTACTTGTAGAGAGGAAAGCCCCGAAAAACAGAGGTGTGGCTCTGACCGACAGGCTGTAGGGCCGGGGTGTCCACGGCACAGCGGGGAACCATGCCTGGTGGCTCTGCTACTGGAACCAGACCGCAGTCTAAAGTGAGGGGTGTCCACGGCACAGCGGGGAACCATGCCTCGTGGCTCTGCCACTGGAACCAGACCACAGTTTAAAGTGAGGGGTGTCCACGGCACAGCGGGGAACCATGCCTGGTGGCTCTGCCACTGGAACCAGACCGCAGTTTAAAGTGAGGGGTGTCCATGGCATGGCGGGGAACCATGCGTGGTGGCTCTGCCACTGGAACCAGACCACAGTCTAAAGCGAGGGGTGTCCACAGCATGGCGGGGAACCATGCCTCGTGGCTCTGCCACTGGAACCAGACCGCAGTCTAAAGTGAGGGGTGTCCACGGCATGGCGGGGAACCATGCGTGGTGGCTCTGCCACTGGAACCAGACCACAGTCTAAAGTGAGGGGTGTCCACGGCATGGCGGGGAACCATGCCTCGTGGCTCTGCCACTGAAACCAGACCACAGTCTAAAGTGAGGGGTGTCCACGGCATGGTGGGGAGCCATGCCTCGTGGCTCTGCCACGGAAACCAGACCACAGTCTAAAGCGAGGGGTGTCCACGGCACGGTGGGGAACCATGCCTCGTGGCTCTGCCACTGAAACCAGACCACAGTCTAAAGCGAGGGGTGTCCACGGCACGGCGGGGAACCATGCCTCGTGGCTCTGCCACGGAAACCAGACCACAGTCTAAAGCGAGGGGTGAGTGCGGAGGTGTAGCCACGCAATGGAAGGGACACTTGGAAGCCCAGGCCGTCCCTTCTTCTCAGGCAGAGGAGGGAGGAAGCCGCTCACCATCTGAATTGATTTTCCAGGAAGTCAGATTGAGACTCTTCCTTATGTCCCCAGGGGAACTAGGAAAATGGCAGGAGAGGCATCATTTAAAGGTTAGCAGGATGCCCTCCCTGGTCCTGGACTGGCTCTGGGCTGGACAGTTTGGGCACTCAGTCGGGTGCCAAGCAGCATGCATGCACTGGGGATTCAAGGGAGAGGGGATTTAGAGTTCTTCGTGGCCTTTGGGAACCACCAAGCAATCCACATTCTGCGTGAAATTCACAACTTGGCCCCGGCTGCTGTAGGGGTGGCCCCTGCACAGGCACGTTTGTGAAGGGTTTTAAAAGCCACTTCTTGGCCAGCACGTGCGGTAGGTTTGACTCCAGGCAAGATTCAGAGTGAGGATACAGTGAAACATTTCCGAAGAGGGTCTGTTGCTTGGCTGAGTCTGATACAGATTCACGGTGTGCTGCCTGCTGAGGTGGGCCAGGGCAGTGTAGGCGTCGGCTCCAGGTGATGAGGAGGAACGTGGTGCTCTTGGCTGCAAATCCTTTGACTTTGCAGTTGATATTTTAGAAGACAAGAAGTCATGCAAAGCGGTCTTCAGGGTCCCTGCCAGAGAGCAAAGCCTGGAAAAGAGCTGTCAACACAAGGCCCTCGAGGGCGGTCGCTACACAGTCGCAGAGCCTGAGAGGCGGGCCCCTGGAGGAGACAAGCAGAAGCCCATTTCCAGACAAGCACGGTCACAGGCGCACAGCCACAGGGGCTCGAAAAGCATTGCTCAAGTCAGCCCCGGCACCCGACAACTCAAATGAGCTGGAGCGGACGGAAGGGGAGTGTTTCCTTCCCGTTGGTGCACATACGCCCTGTTGCTTCACATCCAGCCACAATGCTTATGCCATTCTCTGTAAACAGAGATGGCTGGGTCTTTGGGAATGTGGAGGTGAAAGGGCGCACGCCTGCCCCACCCGGCTCAGGGCTGCTGGAGCGAATGGGTGATGCCCCAAGCCAGGCCCGCATCCTGAGACGCACAGCCGAGGCACTGGAGACCCCTCTCTGGCCCGTGGCAGGGGATCTGTAAAAGCTGATTGGGGCCAGGTATAGGTGGCTCACGCCTGTGATCCCAGCACTTTGGGAGTTCGAGGCGGGCAGATCATGAGGTCAAGAGATTAAGACCAGCCTGGCCAACCTGGTGAAACCCTGTCTCTACTAAAAATACCAAAAAAAAAAAAAAAAAAAAAATTAGCTGGTTGTGGTGGCGGGCACCTGTAGTCCCAGCTACTTAGGAGACTGAGGCAGGAGAATTGCTTGAACCCAGGAGGTGGAGGTTGTAGTGAGCTGAGGTCACGCCACTGCACTCCAGCCTGGTGACAGAGCAAGATTCGATCTCAAAAAAAAAAAAAAAAGTTGATTGGATGTGTGAGCACGTGTGGTGGAGCCAGCTGAACTTTAGCCCCGCGTTCTTTACAGAATGTTTGCTGGGTGACTTAGCGGTGTAATTAGCACGGAGTCCTAATCACGTTCTGATACTCTACAGCATCCATGCAGGCAT